CAGACTGCGTACTTGTATGTTTGCATTCTTTATGTTTAACTGTGGAAGCTTATAAACTTCTGTTTTGAAACAAGATGAATGTAAAAATCTTGGCATGGTCTTATTGTGGTAATGTGATTGCATGCAGACATCTTTGTGGTTAAATTAATTAAAAAAAAAAAACAAACCCAAACATTTCCTGTGAAGGGGTTATTGTTCGCAAGCAGAAGGGTTAATGACTGAGACTAGAGATGCAAATACAACTGCATGGTCTTTCTCATAAACCCCTAATGCAACTTACTTAAAAATCTCTTTTTTCCTGTGGAATTGAATTTGTCAATGAAGTTGTCATTCAGAAGATAGCATCAACTCAGAAAATTGAATTTTTATTCGGATTCCTTTTTGGGTTTCTTGGGTCTCCCTCTACCTTGTCTTTCAGGTGGAAATTCCTTTTTCATAATTCATTGAAAGAAAAAGTTTCTGGTTTATAATTATAGAAACTTGTTATATGGCAACCTTTAGATTGTTTAGAATAGCCAATATCTAATACCAAAAGTCTTTAAAATGTCTGATGCTGCCCAGAGTGGGACAACTGTTCTGTGCCCTTGTGCATGTGGCAAATGAGGACACAGAGCTGAACTGATTTCATGGCGCCTGCAAACCCACCCGCTTCATTGGACTTCAGTCTCTTACAAGATTGGTGCAATCAAGTTGTTTGGACAGACTTTAAGTAAAGCAACACGGATCACAATGCTTTAGAGCCTCATCAGGAATGTATTCCTTTAAATATGCTGATTTACAAAAAACTTTGATTTTTTTTTTCATTATTTTTTAATTATGTTTTTTTTCCAGCACTGTTTCTTGTCTTCTCTTGGTCATCCTCTAGTGTTTGGCTTTCATAAGAATGCAGAATTCAGGGTTTTTCTCTCAACCTTTAAAGTCTGCAGACTCTGCCTGGAAAACAGGCTGGCTCCTGAGCCGCCCGGCCTGGCTGCTTTTTAACCAGAACCTCAGTGGAAAAATGTAACCTTTTCTACTGCTCTTGTCATATGACCTCTGGAACCAAGGTTAAAACCAAGCGAAAATGCTTCCTTTCTCTGGCTTCTACCTCTCGCCCTTTTCCAGTACTTCTGCTTGCCAGGGCTTTTCATTTAACCCTTTTCTCTTCCGAGCGCCTCCTTGGTCCCGTTTACCCTTGTCAAGGCCCTCTCATAAGGCATTGGAGAGAAGCAGAAGCGCGTGTGCGCGCACGCGGGGCGGGGATTTTGTGTCAAATTTGGGTTTCTTTAACTCTCGCCGTTCACTGTCCCAGCTGTGTTGTTTTGCTCAAGCTCCCATCTGCAGCCAGGCCACTAAACTTGTTTTTCACTGCTGCTCCCAACCATTTATATTCTACTTTCTGCCTGTATCTTTGTCTGTAATGCTTTGCATCTGCAATATTGGCCACTCAGGCGACTGACGCTGCCAGCGCAACTACCTACTATGTGGTCAGTAAATGTGTGAGTGAGGAGAAGAGTTAGGCTATTTAAGTGCAGTTTTAAGCTCAGTGTTAAAAATCCTAGGACTATTTAGCCATGGAACTTGGCTCCGGTTTAGTTCAGAAGTTTGTTTCAAAATGACTGGTGTAAACTGTTTGTGACTTTAGAGGAACTGTACTGATCAGCTGGAGATCACCCCCATGATATTTCTCATCGTGTACCTGATAGTGGAAAATGCAGCTTCTTACCAAGTGCATCTTCGGTTTCTCACTTGGACATGGCTCTCAGAAGACGTAATTGCATTTTAGGAAATTCAAGCAGGACTTTTTGTGGCGGGGGGGGTGGTGTTTGCTTTTTTTTTTTT